TACAAACAAAAGGCCATGGACCAAGCTGGAACAAATGGCTGATCTAAATTGCTCAATGGCACTAAGACCTTTTAAGGCCTTTGTTCAGTACCAGCTGCATGTTCTCCTAAGAAACTGTATATCAACAAAGACAAATTCTGTCAGAGGTTTGGAAGCAAGTCGGGAGCTATTAAGAGGTCTGGGTGCAGGAGAGGTGGAGAACCTCACTCTCACTAAGTGAACCTTATCGGTTATCTAATCTGTGGCTTCTTGCAGAAACAGAAATCCCAGGGAAGGCTGTACTTCAGTACACAGGTATTTCTGGCTACAGCTCCTCTAAGAGCCAGAAATATCCCTGAGCCACCACCAGCTGTCCCAAATACCCCTCAGTTTACTAACGCCCTTCAGTGCCCTTCAGCTTACTAGGGTATGGTATGTCATGGTACAGAAAGGACTTTTACCTACGATTACTCAAAGGCTAAACAGGTCTGTTGTATAACATCTGTGGCTAGACTTTAGGGAACAGGGGCTCTTAAATCATGTTCCCCAGAACAGCACATACAAGCCATCAGCTCCAAACTCACTAAATCAGAAACCAGGGGGCAGAGCAGAGTAAACTGCTCTAAAGCTGCCTCCAGGGGATCCTGATGGCAGCAATGGAGGAGAGCCACTGATGTGGGACAGAAAGCCCTGGGCTGCAGACAGCCATGTCCGGTTTAGTTCATTACACCTATCCACATGGCTGACTTCAGAAACATTAACTCTTGGTGCTAGAAATCTAGGAACTGCAACTTTCAGAGAACCACAAAAAGCAGTCTCCAGCTCTAACACAAACTCTTTCTCTTCCCACAGACCTCTCTAAAACAGGCTCTGTTTGTTTGTCTGTCTGTTTGTTTCTGTCTGTCCGCCAGCCTCTCTCCACTCACAGTGGACCTGAAACAGTCAGGGCCTACTTACTGTACTCCTCCTCCTGGGTGCCACAGTCAGTCAGCTAAGCAGCTATTACTTGTACTACATTCTGTTCCGTCAGAGACCACAGACAACCATGACATCTTCCCCACAGAGAGAAGAACGGTACAGTGAACCAACAGTACAGACAAGAATGCTTGTACTGGGGAGAGTGGAGGGCTATCCGAGTCTCATCAGTTGTCTAAGGCTAATAACCAAGATTGCCTGGTCACTCCAGCCTAGCATGCTCATTTCTCTCCCACCATGGACACGCTGTAGAGATGACACAGAAAGCCCTGAGGAAAACATGTTTTCACTGTAAGGCTGGAGCTCGGTAGACAGGAGTCAGTCACACTGCGATGGTACATTTACGTCCTTACGTCTTGCATACTCTATTGATTACCATTCTAACTGAACTGTATTGGGTGTAGATGTGCTCAATATATTTCTTACTTATGATGATCATGTACAGTGATTTTATCGAGACATAACCCCCATATAAAATCCAGGAGCATTGGTGCATATAAACAGTTTATTGGATGACAAATATATTTCTATAAAGCTGTTTTTTAAAAAAATCACTGGGTCTAGCCGGGTGGTGGTGGCGCACGCCTTTAATCCCAGCACTTGGGAGGCAGAGGCAGGGGGATTTCTGAGTTCCAGAGTTCGAGGCCAGCCTGGTCTACAGAGTGAGTTCCAGGACAGCCAGGGCTACACAGAGAAACCCTGTCTCGAAAAACAAAACAAAAAAAAAACAAAAACAAACAAACAAAAAAATCATTGGGTCAGATTATACTGGTTGACTTTCAATTTTGACAGCCTAACTATGAATAAATATTTTCCCTGTTTACAGTTATTATTATTAACCTGTTATATTAAAAACTTCATCAGAAATCAAGGACATCCTGGAATGGTCACAAGTAACAAGGTCCAAGCTGCACAAATCCTGCCCTGACTCTATACTTTCATGGTTTCTTTCTTTCTTTCTTTCTGTCTGTCTATCTATCTGTCTGTCTTTCTTTTTAAACTTTCCTGTCAAAGTTATGTTAGAAAGTTCAAACCCAAGCCACAGAATGCGCTGCACTGGAAAGAGTCTGAGTAAACAGCCCAGGCCACGTCACTACAGACCGCCATCTTCTCTCCGAAGCCTGTCTGCACCTCAGCTCTTCATCCTCCATCTGAGAATAACAAACCCATCTCAGATTCTCTAACTACATCAGGAGAACCTGAAACTCGAGCTCTGAATTTTAATTGCCAATTGGTCAGATAACGTAGTAATAAAAACTGATCTCAAGGCCAGGCATGGCAGCACACACCTCAAAAAGTTAAAAAAAAAAATCTAAGCACATGTTCACAATCAACTTTTAAATATTTACCATAGAGGTGTAAACTTCCCCAAAGCCAGTCTTGGATTTAACTAGAGAAAGTGAATATGCATTTTTCTATAGTTACAGAGAAACTGCACACTTGGTAAAGGGATTCTGACCGAAAGTTATTAGCATGAATTACTTTGTCTTTGTAAAATCAAGGTTGTTAGTCCTTCTCAACTCAGCCCTAACACTCACAGACGAATGGTTCCTGCTGTGTTACTCTCAACTCCTTAGAGCATGGTGCTTGCTCTGTTCCAGGTCCTGTTCTATCAGGCAGAAAGGGCAGCCTCGGTAAGAGAAGCCAGCAAATACATTCAAAACTACTCAGAAACTTATTGTAAGCTATTCAGATTACACCCTGAACTTATACCTAGTCAGATGACTCCATACATATAAACAACGGAGAAATTACAATGGATTCAAGTAGCATATTTATAATGCGTCCTGACAGCATCTTTTCCCTAGAAGCCCTCTCCTCACTCCATACAAATGCTACACCAAGTGGCCACAGTGAGTGAGTGCAAGGAGGCCATCAGACCCAATCAGGGTCCCTTTCCAGCCAGTTTGGGAAGCATTAGTATCAAATAGTCAAGCTAAATGTGGTAATACATACAGTCCCATTACTTGGGAAGTAGAAGCAAGAAGATCAGAAGTTCAAGGCCATCCTCAGCTACCTGGGCTACATATAACCAAGAGTTAAAAAAAATCTCAAAAACTCCAAGTGTCTGCTTTCTGCCCTTGTTCTCAAGATGAAGTGAAGCTTGCCCAAGCAGGAAGAACAAGGTTAGCATGCAAGTCCTAAGGACCTTTAGAAAGTCTCTGATTTTAGTTATCACTGATAACACAACCTCACCACTGTTCTCTGAAGCTAAGTTATTTCAACTCCAGGCTGGCCTCGAACTCAGAAATCCACCTGTCTCTGCCCCCCAAGTGCTGGGATTAAAGGTGTGTGCCACCACCCCCCGGCTTTAAATAGTCTTTTTACCTAAGCAAATTCACAGTTGTTTCTGTCACCTTAACTAGGACATCAAAATTCTTCCCTGTGTAGTCAGCTGTTTTCCTTTCCTAGAGTTAGACACATATTTTAATCAGCCACATCTCATATTAGTCTTGAGAGGCAGACAAAGTAACTACAAAGGAACTAAGAGGCAAAGATGTGTTACTCTGCTTGCCAGTGCGCACTGGAACCAGACATGTTCACATATACCCAGGAACTCTCTCCAACCAAACGTCGGTTAAAAAATCAGAGTTCGGCCAGTGGTGGCGCACGCCTTTAATCCCAGCACTCTGGAGACAGAGACAGGGGATCTCTGTGAGTTTCAGGCTAGCCTGGTCTACATAGTGAGTTCCAGGACAACCAACAGCCAGGGCTATATAGAGAAACCCTGTGTCAAGAAACAAACAGCCGGGCAGTGGTGGCGCACGCCTTTAATCCCAGCACTTAGGAAGCAGAGGCAGGCAGATTTCTGAGTTTGAGGCCAGCCTGGTCTACAGGGTGAGTTCCAGGACAGCCAGGGCTACTCAGAGAAACCCTGTCTCGAAAAAAACAAAAATAAATAAATAAATAAATAAATAAATAAATAAATAGAAAGAAAGAAAAAGAAACAAACAAAAAGTAGGAAAGACAACATTACACATAAAGAATGGAGAAATGGGGGCCTAAGAATCACGCTAGTCCATCTATCTAAGAACTGAAGCCCACAAGAAAGGGTTTGTTTGCCTCTCCATGATACAGACTCGCTAGAGCCTGGTTTTCTAGCTGGTATGCCTATGGGTGGGAAAATATTCACAGGTAATTGTAAAAAAAACTCATTCGATACACAAGAACACTTGAGGGTTCCTTGCAGTTGTTGTCTTTGAGACAGGTCTCCCCATGTTACTCAGATGGCCTTTATCTCCTAGACTCAAGCATTCTTCCCTCCTCAACCTCCACACTGACTCAGCCTCCAGCTGTGGCTTCCACTCTCTTCCCAAACCCTGAGAAGCACCTCCATCATACAATCAAGACACTGGTACACAGAGAGGAAGGATATCCTCATACTGACTGGACTACGGCACTTTGGCTTGTGATATGCACATTGCTTAGTCACTTATGCATGACACACCGACACCAAGCAGGACTTAGACTATCTCATGCCTCATAAAAATTGCCCTTTGCCCCCTATCAAAACTCTTACAAAAATCAAGATATCAGAGACACTGCTTGGGTTTTTGCTACCTCAACAATTGGGGCAAAGCAGAAAGGAATACATTAGGCCAATGACCAAGACAATCTATATACACAAGGATAACAGTGATGCACTTCTACTGTTGATAGACAGACAGTCTAACAGTGCCAAGAGCCGTGGCTGAGACAATAAGCGGGAAAGCTTTGATTCTTTCTTGCTTTTTGTTTTGTTTTGGTTTGGTTTGGTTTTTTTTGAGACAGGGTTTCTCTGTGTAGCCCTGGCTGTCCTGGAACTCACTCTGTAGACCAGGCTGGCCTCGAACTCTCGAACTCAGAAATCCGCCTGCCTCTGCCTCCCAAGTGCTGGGATTAAAGGCGTGCGCCACCACCGCCCGGCACAGGAAAGCTTTGGAAAACGATTTGGCATTATTTTGTTAAGAGGTATGCTCACAAACTCTTCACCCCAGGAGTTCCACACTTGGGTATGGGTTGAAGAGAAATTTGCTCAAGTGTAGGTGAGTCAAAGAGGTTCATATTCCCCCTGGCAATGAACAAAGAGACATCTTATTGGTGATGTTGTTTTTTTTATAAGTCAGAGGCAGAGAGGGTGGCAGACCTTTGTTCATCCTAGCTTGAGACCTGGCTTAGTGGCCAAAGCTGTCTTATGTCTAGGACTCATAAAAATCAAATCCAGGCAACGCGGCATGGGAGGAGGAAGGCAGACACAGACCTAAGGACTGCCATGCCGCCCACAGATCTTCCCATCAGCGCACAGCACAGGCAGGCTTGCCCCGTCAGTGCACTGCACAGGCAGGCTACAGACACCTGCTTGGGCTAGGTCACTGACTCTCATGTCCTCAGGGTCAACTCTCCCTACTGCTTCAGGAAGGGAGGGAGGACAGGGGGTGTTTCCCCTGCACCCACACCATACCACCCAGCATGAATGAAGGATGTCACCCAGGGGCCCACCAGTGCATGGCTAGCCTGCAGCAGGAACCATAACAGTGTGTGAGTATGTGGTGGTCAGGTGGGGGAGAAAGAGAAGTGGAGCAGCTTGAGCATTCTGAAGAGAGATGGGACCGGAGACTCAGGGTGGAGAGGAATACCCTGGTGTGAGCAGCCGGCCAGCTCTGGGACCACAGTGAGGTCCCAACCCCCAGCTGCTGCTGAGGGCCATGACGGAGTCTATGGCTACACAGCAGCAGGAGTCGGTATAGACATCCACGGGGATGTCTCTGATTGGGGCAGTCATTGGAACCATATGGATGTCCAGGGGCTGTGCAGAACTGTCCCTGCCGCTCACTGAATGTGGCACTCTAGCAAGCTGGCTCCACCTCTCACCTATGGCAGCACTCAGGGAGCAGGCCCTGGCCCAGGCGGTAGGATGTAAGTAAGCACGCTCTGAGAATGTGAGTGTGGGAGAGCTGACCGGGCCACTCATTTGCCATGGGGTGGCACCAGTGCAGAAGTACTGCCTCAACCCTTGCCACATGCAGCAGTTGGGAGAACTGGTCCTGGAGTCATGAGGACAGATGAACTGGCCCTGCCCTCTGGAGGCTGGAGCACTTGGGAGAGCATGCCTTGTACCCCATCTGTGTAGCACAGTAGAGCTAGCCCTGTTGAAGGGGGTGCGGGTGAGCTCCCAGAGTGTGGGAGAACTGGCCCTGCTCCCCTCTGCTGAGAGGTAGCCTGGGGGTGGGGAGATGGCCTCTGCCCCCTTGCCCCTCACTACCCGAGGCAGTCAGGAGAGCAGGTAAAGTGGCCCTGTTCATCACTGGCTGGACAGTACCGTGGAGCTGGCTCTGGAGGTGTGGGTACAGGCTTGAGAGCAGGCTGAGATCAGGGCTCTGAATTGGCCCACCCCCAAATCTATGTCACCTGCTAACAGTTGGATGTGTGAAAGGCCAGGCCTGCTATTGCAAAGCTGCAGGATCTCCATGACACAGGGCAACAACAGGATAACTGGGAGAAGTCCTGATGAGGGTCCGATATTGATTTCATCACAGAGCCAGAGATCTCAAACCAGACCACTGACTCACACTGCAGTGAACATTTGCAAGTAAAGATGTGTGGACAGAGTGGGACACACTGGGACACACTACAGCTTCCATGATGAGATGTTTTCTATGCTTTCATTTTTTTTTGTTGTTGTTTGTGTTTTATTTTGGAGGAGAGGCTGCAGGGGTGACAGGCAGATATGAGGGAATGGGGAGATGGGTAGGACTGGGGCTTATGATGTGAAACTCACAAAGAATCAAAAAGTTTTTTTTAAAAAGGCTCATAAAAATAGCAATTGTGTTTCTGTTTTGCTTTGCGGCGATGCTACTGATCACACCCAAGGCCTCTAGCACACTAGGCACATACCCTACAACTAAGCTATACAGCCTCAGTCTACCAACACTATTCAACAGCCCATCAACAGGAACTAGATGAACTTCCAGGGAGTTCAATCTCAAGATCATAAGATCAGGGGACCAGACTGTTGTCTCTAGTTAAATACAACAATGTACATGAATCTCATTAGCCTAATATTGAATCTAAAATCTCCCTCTCCATCCAACCCACCCTCTCTCTGTCTCTCTGTCTCTCTGTCTCTCTGTCTCTCTCTCTCTCTCACACACACACACACACAGGGGGTTGGACCTTGCACATGTAAGGCAAGTGCTCTCTACCTCTCTGTCTCTCTGTCTCTCTGTCTGTCTCTGTCTCTCTCTCTCTCTCTCTCTCTCACACACACACACACACACACACACACACACACACACACACACACACACA